GTCACATTCACAACGTCAATGTCACCACGTAAGTAGTCCACTTCAACCAACCGTTGGCATTTTCCGTTCACTACAAAAAAAAAAAACAAGGATTTAGCCACGAAAAATTAGCGACGAAAAATTATTCGTCGTTAATTTGCGACGAAAACTAAATTCGTCACTAATTGCGACGGAATTTGAATTTAGCCACGAAAATAAACTCTCGCTTCACTTACCCGACTATTTTTTATTTCCGTGGCTAATTAGCCACGGATTTAGCCACGGAAAAAAAATAATCGGGTTAGTGCCGCGAGACTTTATTTCCGTGGCAAGCCACGGAAAAAAAAAATAGTCGGGTTAGTGCCATGAGACTTTATTTCCTTGGTTAATTAGTCACGGATTTAGCCACCGATTAGAATCCGTTGCTAATTAGCGACGGACTTTTTGAGTTCATAGCTAATTTGAAAAAACAAAATTGAGAAAAATTTCAAAAGAAAGCGGGAAGATTTTTTTTTGTGGGATAATCATTTTACCCCCTTTCTTCTCTCTCCTCTCTCTGTCTCTTCCCCCCTCACGCCTCTGACTTCCCCACCGAACCACCACCAACTCCCCATCATTGCTTCCTCCTTTTCTTCGCTGCTTCTTTTTCTTGTTCTCTTCTGTTTGTTTGTTCTTCTTCTTTTCGCCTTCTCATTTCCAACCGCCGGACCAGTCCATTTCTCCCCCCGAAACAGCCACGCCGCGCGCCGCTCTACCCCGCCACCGCACCACCGCGGTCCCAGCTTCGTCCCTGGCTGAGTCGCACCGCCCCCAGCCGCGCCCAGCCTCCCGTCGCCGGCTGTTTTCCAGCCAAGGCGAGTTGCGTCACTCGCTCGCCCGCCCGCGTCCGTCCTCACCGCTCACCGCCGCGGTCCAACACGCCAACCACCACCCTTCTCGGCCTCACTTTCTGTCCGAGCAGCCCTCACCAGCCGCACCCCAGCAGCCGTCGCCGGTTCGCCCAAGCCGAGCGCGTGTTGCACCTCTCGCCGGATCCGCCTCCGCCACTTGCCGGGGCTGTCCAGCCGCCTAGCCGCCACCAGCAGCAGCCATTTCACGCCGGGAATAGCTCCCGAGCTGCCTTCGGCCAGCCACAACAGCCCGCTCCTTTGCCGCGCTCGTTCGCCGCCGTCCGCCGAAGATGACGACGGGGACGACGCCCCGGAAGAGAAGGAGAGCGAGGAAGAAGAGGTCAATCCAGGTGAGTGCTCTCTCTCTCTCCCCTCTCCCCCTCGGACAGATCTGCGCTTTGGTCGCTGCTCTTCTTCGAGTTGGGTCTTCAAGATGTCCGAGCAGCGGGTGGCAGAGGGCGTCGATTTGTGATGAGCGGGGTGAGGAGACGAGCGATTGGACGAGCGACGAGCTGCATTGGGCAAGCAGCGTTGGCGTCGGGCGGCCACGCCGCGAGCAGCTGCTGGGGGGGAGTGGACGGGGAGCAGCGTCGGCGGTTAGTGGCGGTGGGTCTGCGGGAATGGACGGCAAATGGACGAGCGGCGAGCTGAAGGAGACGGCAGGCAGCGTCGACCGACCCGCAAGCAGTGGCTGGGTGGACCGGCCGACCACGCCACGAGCAGTGGCAGGGGCAGTGGTGGGTGGCCACGCCGCGAGCAGAGGCTGGGCTGGGGGCGGCCACGCTACTACAAAATTCGTCGCTAATTTTGCTTAACCCTAGGATGTTTTAGCAGGTACTTTAAAGTGTTCAAGATTATTTATTTTCTCATTATGTGTACCGTAAAGAAAAATATTTACGTTATTCTTGTGGAAAATGTTGATGAATGTATTTCATTTTCATATCATTATAATATTTTGAAGTTATTAAATGCATGATCAATGTTAAATATAAATAAATTCGTTCCGGAACAATGTTCATGGCAAAAGTCAAAATATTTCGTGGCAAATTAGCGACGAATTTTGCCACGAATAAGTTCGTTGCAAATTTTTGACCAAAAAATAAAATTTTCGTGCAATTCCGTCGCAATTTAGCGACGAAAATTGTCGCTAAATTTTGCGACGCCGATTAGCGTCGCAAAATTCGTTGCAAATTCGTTTAGCCACGAATTTTGCCAAATTTTTCGTCGCAAATTTCATGGCTAAATCCTTATTTTTTTGTAGTGATTATCCACGTCATCGCCACGTAGGAGAGAGAAAAAAATCCATGTAAATATTTTCCATTAGCCAAGTTGGACGGAGTTAACATAAGGACTTAATTGCACCAATTTGACAAATTTTACTACTTAACTGCATTTTTTGAAAGTTTTAGAACTCAATTGCACTTTTGTGACAAATTTTAGGACTTCCAATGCACTTATCCCTATTTTTTTTAGTTTACTAGGTGTCTTCCTGGACTTTTGAAGCTCCTTTACGAATAGTTTGGCGGACCCCTATTGGGCTCTTATAAGAAAATCTCATAAACCTATAAACCCCTCCTATCCGGATGAGGGGAGTTTCACACTCCCCACCTCTCTATTTTCATGTGGGAATGGTGGCCATTGGGGCAAGCTCCAGTGGTCATCTGAGTAATTTTATTCGTGGTGTAGAAGCCAAGCAAATGCTATCAAGCAGTTCAATGAAATTCTTGAGCCGGATGTTGTTATGGTTGCACAGATGGGAGTAACCGTTGTGTTGACGATGGTGAAGGTCAATAGGATGGTCTATAATGCATTGTCTTAGATGACAATAGTGTTGTCTATTTTGTTGTTAGCTTTTTGTAGGAGTGTTGGAAATCGATGTTGTTCAATACTGAAATGGATAAATGTATGTCAAATTCAGTATTGTGATGTTTCATGAATGACTTGATCGAATCCTGAGAGACAAAAAGATTGACCAGACATAATGGCCAATGACAAAAACAAGTATATCGAAAGGACTCACCGACCAGAATGACAAGTATCCTCAGTCCTTACTCTTTCAACTAAGCATTATTTCAATATGCTATAGAGATAATGACACAAATGTTTCCTAAATTTTGGCCAAATGTGCAAAGTAGTCCCTGAACTTTTAATTTGTTTAATGTAGTATCTGAACTTTAGTCTAATGTTTAATGTGGTCACTGAACTGTTAATTTGTTCGATGTAGTCCCTAAACTTTTGGTACATATTCATTGTAGTCCTTGAACTATATGAAAATGTTCAATGTAGTCCCTAAACTCGAATTAATGGAAGGACTATGTTGAACATTTTAATATAGTTTATGGACTAAATTGAGCATGTATCAAAAGTTCAGGGGCAGTATTGAACAAATTAAAAGTTCAAGGACTACATTGTACATTGGGTTAAAGTTAGAGACCACATTGAACAAATTAAAAGTTCATGGACCACATTGCACATTGGACCAAAGTTTATGGACTGTTTATGTCATTTTCCCTATGTTATGTTTTCGACATTCATTTCGCGTCCAAAATTTAGAACAAAATACCAAACTTGATTATAACACTCTTGAACATTAATAACTTAAAAAGTGACAGAATTTAGATACGTTTTGACTCATTTTTCACATAAAGAAATTCTTCATCCTATTAGACCATGTTTATATAATCTTGACAAGGTAAAAAACAATACAAGCAACGAACATGAATACCAAATTGCGTTTAGATATAAGTCAATCTTTTTCTCTCACCTATTGAATTAACAAGTTGTTATGCATCTTCCACTTGTTAAATGTTTTAAGTAATAAATTGGATTTGGCGACAAAAGAAAATGATTAAAATGACTTGGACCACTAAAGTAAGAATTCACAGTAAGTGTCGTCACAACATACATACTTTTCTAGTTCTTTATAAGTATTTCATCTATAGTTTTTTTTACGATGTTTACTTTGTTTACTACATTTTTTTATCACACTAATTTTCTTTTTAAATTTGATATGAAATTTTTATCCAAGTAACATATGCACATGGAGAATTTAAAGTGGGTTAAATAGGTGGGTACGAGTTTTCATAGGTTGGATTAGATATATATGTGTATTAGTAACAGGCCTAATATCCTAAAAAACCTCAAACTTTAGCTTTTGTCTTTACCTTTTGTCTTATAAAAAACCTCCAATTTTAGGTCTAATCCCAATTCTACCATCAACTTTTTTTGTCTCATAAAAAACCCTTAACTTTCGGTCATATCCCAATTATATCCTAAACTTTTTTTGGTCCTATAAAAAACCCCCAACTTTATGTCTTGTCCCAATTTTACCCTAAAATTTTTACAGTCTCATAAAATACCACAAAATTTTATGTGAGTCACAAATTTGTCCCCATTAACCCTCCATCCAAAATTTCTCTTTGACAACCGAGAGATGAAAAACTCTCAAGCACAAGCTGTTCGAGTGTCCCGAGCGTGACCTCTCCAACCGCAAGAGATCGAAGACTGAGCGCAAAATCACTAAGGGTGATTTTGACGAAGGGTTAATGGAAAGCGGATTTGTGACTCATGTTAAAGTTGACGATCTTTTATGAAACAAAAAAAATTAGAGTGAAATTAAAACTGGTCCTAAAGCTAAGATTTTTTTTTTAGACAAAAAGAATTTAGTGTAGAATTGGTACTCTAAAGTTGAGGGTTTTTATAAGACAAGAACAAGTTTAGGGTAGAATTGGGATTGAACCTAAAGTTGGAGGTTTTTTATTAGACGAAAAAAATTTGAGCGTAGAATTGGGATATAACCTACAGTTGAAGGTTTTCTATGAGACAAGAGGTAAAATTGGGACAAAAGCTAAAGTTGGAGATTTTGGGTCGGGTATGAGCCGGGTTATGCATGAGTCACTAAATTTGTATTGTATATTAATTAATGGGTCAAAATGGATTAAAATGAGTGAATTCAGATTGGACCATTTACAATCCGACTCGCGTGTTCAACCGCCCTACTAACAATGATAAAAAAAAAAGAGGCCCACCGATTGCTTCACCTAACCCATCTCACTCATCAATCACGGTCCCCATTTGTGAAGTCAAATTGTATACACACATCATATAAGCTTCTTTCATAATAACAACATGAATATCATAAAGACAATACTTTCGTCTTTTATCCAAACTACAAGCCACATCAAACATCCTGCTCGAAAGCGGGAAAAGTAACCACACATCTTACTAGTACGACGACAACAAGAAATATATTTACTTCCTAGTCACATGATCCAATGGATTGACATGCACGACGGGGTAACACACCAGCGGTTTAGCCATCTCCGCCGCGAATCCCGGCCCGTGGCTCAGATCGACACCCTCCTCTCCCTCCATCATCTTCCAATCAAAGCACTGGACCAGCGACCCAACCGCCGCGTGCAACACCAGCATCGCGAGCGACGCTCCGGCGCACCCTCGCCGCCCGCTCCCAAACGGCAAGTACTTGAAGTTCTGACCCTTGAACTCCATCTGATGCTCCCCGATTTTCTCGTCCGAGGTCTCCAGGAACCTCTCGGGCACAAACTCGTCAGGGTCGGTCCATATCTCCGGGTCCCTCATGATCGCGAAGACGTTGATTAGGACCCTCGATTTGGCCTCCACGAGGTAACTGTCGACCGAGCAGTCCTCTCCGCACTCCCTGATGATTATGGGCGCGGATGGGTGGAGCCTCAGGGTCTCTCTGATGACGGCTCGAAGGTAGGGCAAGTTTGGGATGTCCGACTCTTTGACTAGCCTAGTCGGCCCAACGACGGAGTTGATCTCGTCCCGCAGCTTCTTGAAGGCTTCCGGACGGTTGATGAGCTCTCCCATGGCCCACTGGATGGCCGCCGATGAGGTATCCGTGCCCGCCATGAAGAGATCCTGTCAATTAGGGGCATGAGAAACGATAGCGTTAACGTTTACATGAACGTCATATACAATGTTCTAAATGTTTAACATCTGAACTGCGCGACTATTATCTAATAACATGTACTTTCGGAGCATAAAAATATTTATTTGCTGTCAAACTTTATGATTAGAAGTAATTAAAAGATACTTGGCTCAAGTGTAATTGGTTTCAGGTCATTGTCATCGTATCAACACCGATGACTTTTTGCCTAATTAATAAAATAAAGAGAGCGTGCACAGAATTAACATGTACTCACCAGGATAAAGGACTTCACGTCCTTTCTAGTTATCTTCAGTTCAGCAGTTGGATCGTTAAGTGTCTCCAACAAGATGTCCATGAGATCCTTCCTGTCAGTAACTGATCCATTGGTCAGCTTCTCTTCATGCTCCTTCATTATCCGCTCGACGATCTGGTCGAATTCCCGCAGTGCCGCCTGAAGCTTCTTCCCGTTCCCGGAAAAATCGAGCCACCTGAGAGGCCCCAGCACATCGCCGACGCTCAGCTTCCCTGCGAGCTCCAAACACGCCTTCACAAGCTCGTTGATCTTGTTCGCGTCGTACGCAGTCCCCGAGCACCGCGTGCTCATCACCATCCGGCAGATCACGTTGTTTGTGAAAGTCGTAAGCTCCTTGCTCAGGTCCGATGTCTTCCCTCCTCTTGCACTCTCGATCACTGACTTGACGAGCCTCTCGACCTCCTCCTCGCGGACATCAAGGAACATTTCGAGCTGAGGGACGGCAAGGAGCCTCGTCATGCACAGCTTCTTCATGAACCGCCAGTAATCGCCGTATGGCGCCATGATGAAGCGCGACCCTCTGTAGATGAAGTGCTCCGAGGACCCGAACTCGGGCCTCGACGAGAAGTTGAGCTCTTGGGTTTTGAACAGCTCCTTCGCGATGGAGGCGCTCGAGGCGACGATGCACGAGGACGCCCCGAGGCGGAGGCGCATGAGCGGGCCATGGTTGCGGGCGAGTCCTTGCAAGGATTTGGGGAGGATGGGGCCGATCAAGTGGAGGTGGCCGAGGAAGGGGAGAGAGAGAGGGCTTGGTGGAGGCGGGGTCTTGGAGCGAGGCTTGAGCTTGAAGCATGCTTTGATGAGGGAGTGGACTAGGAGTGCGGTGAGGAACCAGACGACGAAGAGGAAGTAGTAGAAGACATCATTTGGACTGACCATGGCCATGAGGGATATGAAAGTGAATAGATGAGAGAGAGAGAGCATATGGGGTTTGAAAGAAGAAAGCTTAAGGTGATGCTATATATAATGCATGAGAGTATGCCAGCTGCCATGAAAAATGTGAAATCTCAAGTAGCTTGCTTTTCTTTCGACAGGAGCTATACAATACATATTAACACCAGGTTACAAAGCTGAGACAATGTTGTCATGTTACAGACGAAAATCATCTCTAAAAATTAAGTTCTTCGTCGGCTTGTGACACCACCGTCATGTGTGAATGGTACTCAAAAAGATACTTTTCCGCTAACAAGAAAGCAATTTCGTTTAGATAAGCATCGCATGCACCGTCAACGAAAATGATGCCATAATCCACGAGTGACCTTCCTCATCGATTTGTTGGTAACAGTTGAACCGGTAAAAATATGGTATAAACTCATTTTTTTAACCCATATATGATTGATCGATTTATTAAATAGGTTAGTTATATTCAGTAAATGACACGGCCGTACTTTCACCAAAGGACGCAACCTCAAACGTAATCATAATTCAACTTAATATCGAAATATATACATATATTATATATATTTGATAAAAAGTCATATGCTTACAATATCAGAATTTCTATAATCCGTTAAAAAGATATATACACATACAACTGACTCAGAAACTTATCATATCCATATACAACTTTCGACCCAAAAAAATATCCATATACAACTCATACCCAAAATTCCCACTATCAAAATGTCATCTTGATAACAATAATACTCTCATTCTATTTGCGGCTCGCTAAAAAACCTGAAAAGCAAGTAAGATGAATGGAATGAGCAACCACAGCCCAATGAGTATTATATCTTTTCTAAGTGGATCTAACATTCACTATGCACATTATAAAATAGTATAATATATCATCAATTCCAAATCCAATGTACAATATACGTAAAATATCAAAGGTGAATGATATTTTTCCAACAAAACTTTTTGTAGAAGATCAATCAACAGTATCAACCATCAATGGTATATTACATTGATTAATATCAACCAAAACAACATTAATGGTCCGTTCTATTGACTAATCTAATTCTTTACATATAACTATAGTCATGCTTACCGCCCGTGACAAAGGCGACCGTTGATATCCCCCCTAACTAGGTCTATCACCTATATTAGCTGATGGTTTGGCCTAGAAAGATGTCCTCACAACAGTATGCATACTTGCCCCTTCAATGTGTTCTAATAAATAGGTTTAAACATAATATAGGTATTAAATGGGTCATAATAAGTTTACAACTTATTGAGACCCAACCCATCTTTATGACTCTCTCTTCATTCTCTCTCACCCTTATTCAATCTCGTACTCACTCACTCTACACTTGCACTTCAGTTTAGGTACGAGTTTTTCCAAATTTGGTTAAATATGGAAGTGTTTTAGTAATACGAGTCGGGTCGGATATGGATCACTAGATTTGCATTGCATGAAAAATGGATAAAAATGGGTTTAATGGGTCTATTTGGGTCGGGCCATTTTCGACCCGACTCACCCATTTGACGCATCTAGTAATAACAGCCCACTCTCTTATCAATCATCATGCTGAAAGTTAAGGCCGCTAGTGATTTTCTTTTAAAGATGATCTTGCTGTTTAGTCTTTTTAAAGATTCTTCTGAAGCAGGGAAAAGAGAAAAAGAAAAGTTCAAGGAAAGGCTTAAATGTAACTTGAATTTGTTTATGAGCTTAACCACGTTTATAACTTATAAATTTTAAGGATGATCATCCAACTTGATTTACTTTTTAATTTTCTTTTGGGGATATGAATCGCTACTCCAAGTCCTTATGAAGAAGACATTATGATCGACGAGACTATGTACCTGGAAGATAGTCCCGGAAAATTAGGACAAATCTGCATACCTCAGTGGTCCTCAGTGGTCCTCGTACATGAATTAACAGCGTGGTCCTCCTCATGCATTATTGAAGCATTTTTGTAATTGATTAATCTCTAACGATAGTATTAATTATCAAACCCGTGTGAGCCCAGAAAGTGAGATCAACGAAAGTTTGAATGTTCAAACTTCTAAATTGCAGAAATCGAAATGGTCTTTGTTTTATACTTTCGTTGTTGCTTCAAATAGCACAGAAGTTGTCTGGTCTGTTGGGTAGATCTCACATGACATTCTGACATATCTTACACAGTACACACAGCAGTTTGATATGACCTAAAACTTGCCGTCGACTATGAGAACGTAGATAGGTATAGCACGTAACAAATTGGATGTGATGATTTTGATTCTTCATTCCTAGATGATCTTGGAGGTCCCATGGCCAGTTAAATTATGTAGCAAGTGGTGTTAATCAATGGTTTAGGCAGTGATTTTCTCAGCAAATAACTAGATTAAACATCTTCTTCCTTGACAATGATGGCGAAAGAAAAAAATCGCAAAGATAATGAAGTTGGTGCACAATGTTTCCTAAGACGGGACCATGTAATTAGACCAATGTATCTCAACAACATTGCATCTTATGGGAAAACTACACCACCGGTTTTATATAATTTTTGTATGACACTTACTTAAGTGTTATAATTTTTTTATCACTTAAGTACCACGTTGGAGAAAAATCGTTCACTTAAATGCCTACTTTGACGAATTGTCCTGCATAACTTCTCAAAATAAATGTTAAGTTCAACATGATTTATTTCTAAAGAAATTTAAGTCCAAAAGTGGAAAATGGAACAAACTTCTAAGTCTAAATTTTGAATCTGACAGACCACGCATTCTCTTCTTCTTCTGCTCATAATCGTATTCATCTTCATATTTTTTACTGTCGGAGCGAGTCGAGCTCGCCAAGCTCCGCAACTCTCGCGATTGGCCCAAGGCAATCAGAGTCCCAATTCGCTTGGCTCGGTCGTGCACGATCCAAAACATTTGGCGGAAACTCATTCTTCGATTTGCTTTTGAGCGAGAAGACGAAGCAGTCGAGAAACGAGAAGCACCTTCCATTCGATCAAGTGTTCCATTCTGGAAATCAGATTCATAAAGAGTGAAAGAGGGACTTTCAACAAGAGAGCGAAACGATTGTTTTCCACTTCTTCGTCTGTCTATTGCCCCAAACGATTCAAAAGGTAATTTTGCCAAACATTAAAGGAATAAGGGTTTTCTAGGTTTTGGGAATGGGGCTTAGGTATAAAAATGGGATGTTCTGAGAGGTAAAGGAGCGCCGACGCCGAGTCCCTTCCTCTTAAATAATGATTTTTCTAGCGAGTCGCATCAGCCAATTTATGATAAATTAATGCCACGTCGGATTTTCCGACAGCATAAATTGCCCATGGTATGTAAGTAAACAATTTTTAGCAAGTGTAACATTCAAGTGATTGAAAAAAAAAAGTTTATATCACTCAAGTGAACAATGCACGAAAGTTATGACACATATAATGTCTTTATAATATCTTATGCTTAAGAGAATGCCAAGCCTAGTGTCATGAAGCTTAAGTAGAATCAAATGAGTAATTTTTCCATCATTGTTAGAGATCATATCACATTGAATGGTAATTAAACTTTGATCAACTTTAGGGTTACTTAAATTTTATGTTAGCCACCGGGCTCACCAATTGCCTAAGTGGGGATAAACCACATTGGCCAAGGTTTTAGGTTATATTCATGTAATATTCATATAACATGTTGTATGTTGACACATATGTCATTACTTACTCAATCATGCGTTTACTTATGAATGAATTTCTACCATATTATTGGAAAAATTAAGCATTTAAATTAAAATGATTCATCTTAACATGTCATGAGTGACGTAAAAGGACATGAATGTAAAGCACTAAACAATATGGTAGACACGTTTTCTAAAACCAATTTGTTTGTATGCACCTAATTAATTACCTCTTGCAAATTATCTTAAAGTAATGATTGAGCTGACTAGGCGTTCATGGGACCAAAAGATCAGATATGATTCATTTTGGTAGAGTCCCCGACAATGTCATAATCAGAAGATTGATGTCCAAATCTCTGATAGTGATTCATAATGATCTGTATCCCACCTTAAAGAAAATAATAAGAATAATGATGAGCAAGATTAATTTTAAAAAAATCGCTAGCAAAGCAAGTTTTCGGACATCAATGAAAACAACGTAACGAAGATTCGATTTTGGGCGGGTAGGTAATTAATTTCCAAGTTAGTTTCCACATGCGATACAGCGAAATAAAATAGAAATTGGTATTATTGGCCAATGTAAACTTGCCCGTGCAATAGAGAACTCGATCGAGGAAATTGTCTAATCGGTAACGAACTTATTGTACAGATGCCACACTGTCCTAATGTCACACCCCAAAACCTACCAGGATAAGGGATGACACGGCCGTCCTTCCACCTGAAGGACGCAACCTCAAACCACAAGGAATCCAACTCCCAAAAGTCCTCACGATATCGCTCTCGCTCTAATGGCTACCAACCAAAGAACCTGAAAAGATTGGGAAAAGAGAGGGGTGAGCAACCACAGCTTAGTAAGTAGTGCGTATCTCTTCTAAGCAGATCGAGCAACCACTATGCATATATAAAGTAATATCGAAAACTCGTAATTTAAACCCACAATATCATATACATATCATATCAAATATGAGTTATTTTCTTTTTCACAAAACTCGATACAAACCAGAAAACATTCATTTGGTACAACATCACAATTCAATCATCAATGGTCAAGTCCATTAATTAATCTCGTCAAATCACACGTCAATGGTCCAATCCATTGACCAATCCCAATAACTCACGTATCAATGGTCTGTTCCATTGAGTAATCTTATCATAAAAGGGCTCGTTCGAGGTAGAGACGCAGCTGCACTGCCATCCCTCAACCCGACCCGATATTATCCTTTTTGAGCCGCAGCTGCACTGCCATCGCTCTCAAGGATTTGCCCTGGCATAGTAGAAAACACATCGATGGTATATTCATCGACCAAACCAAAGCTTATGTAATCCAACTCCAGCATATTTCAAATGTCAATTCAAAATACATTATGTACTACTTTAACATAACATTTTCACAATAAAAATGCTCGTTTTAAATCAATAATATCAAAATAGAAACCAATGGT